CTCTCCCCGGACCCCGCATTCCCTATATCCCCTCTCCCCGGACCCCGCATTCAGTATATCCGCTCTCCCCGGACCCCGCATTCACTATATCCGCTCTCCCCGGACCCCGCATTCACTATATCCGCTCTCCCCGGACCCCGCATTCCCTATATCCGCTCTCCCCGGACCCCGCATTCCCTATATCCGCTCTCCCCGGACCCCGCATTCACTATATCCGCTCTCCCCGGACCCCGCATTCACTATATCCGCTCTCCCCGGACCCCGCATTCACTATATCCGCTCTCCCCGGACCCCGCATTCACTATATCCGCTCTCCCCGGACCCCGCATTCACTATATCCGCTCTCCCCGGACCCCGCATTCACTATATCCGCTCTCCCCGGACCCCGCATTCACTATATCCGCTCCCCCGGACCCCGCATTCACTATATCCGCTCTCCCCGGACCCCGCATTCACTATATCCCGTCTCCCCGGACCCCGCATTCACTATATCCGCTCTCCCCGGACCCCGCATTCACTATATCCGCTCTCCCCGGACCCCGCATTCACTATATCCGCTCTCCCGGACCCCGCATTCACTATATCCGCTCTCCCCGGACCCCGCATTCACTATATCCGCTCTCCCCGGACCCCGCATTTCTCCCCGGACCCCGCATTCATTAATTATTATTTATTTTGTTAATTTAGTTTATTATTTATTTTTTATTATTATTATATATCTATTATTAAATATTAACTAACTAACCTTAAAAAACAGTTATAGAATTTTTCATTTTCTGACCCTTTTTCTTTGCTTTCAGAGCCTCCTAGGCTGCTCACTCATTTGTGTCGCCTGAAAATTCGAAGCATGCTGGGCAGGAACCGCCTGACAGTCTTGGACACGTTACCTCTCCCGTGTCGGCTGATCCGATATTTAAGCCACGACAACTCCAGCCAGTGATAGTTCTCTGACAGACTTTGATACGAAGGTATCCGGAACACAATTCAGTGGCTGTATAAAAAACTAACGATGGGATTTGTTTTGGTCAAACAAGGGACGGGTTTGCCGCGATGCGGTGACTTCAGCTTGGCGACATTTGCAGAAGTCAGAGGGGCCGTCCCTGTGATAGAGCAATGCACTGTAAAGTTAGCAAAAAGTTATAAAAGTGTTGAAGTTGTAGGACAGCCTTTCTCAACCAGGGTATGTGGAACCCCAGAGGTTCCTTGAGCTGTGGCTGATTGGCCTCCCAACTGACGGTGCCTGTTCCAGGGGCCAACACCACTGGCCGAGCCAACAGCATGACACCAATTTAGCCATCTGTAAACTGGGCATTCTTCCCCCTGGCTACCAACAAAAGGAATATACTTCCCACTGACCCCCAATGTAAGGGACATTCCTACCACTGACCCCCAATGTAAGGGACATTCTTCCCACTGACCCCCAACGTAAGGGACATTCTTCTCACTGACCCCCCAATGTAAGGGACATTCTTCCCACTGACCCCCCAATGTAAGGGACATTCTTCCCACTGACCCCCAATGTAAGGGACGTTCTTCCCACTGACCCCCAATGTAAGGGACATTCTTCCCACTGACCCCCAATGTAAGGGACATTCTTCCCACTGACCCCCAACGTAAGGGGCATTCTTCCCACTGACCCCCAATGTAAGGGACATTCTTCCCACTGACCCCCAATGTAAGAGACATTCTTCCCACTGACCCCCCAATGTAAGGGACATTCTTCCCACTGACCCCCAATGTAAGGGACATTCTTCCCACTGACCCCCAACGTAAGGGGCATTCTTCCCACTGACCCCCAATGTAAGGGACATTCTTCCCACTGACCCCCAATGTAAGGGACATTCTTCCCATTGACTACCAATTAAAGGAATGTTTTTTCCCACTGGCCACCAATTCATTGGTTTTATTAGGTGATCCCCAGACCTGACATTTATTTCAAGGGTTCCTATATTATATAATGGTTGAGAAAGGCTGGCATAGGTATTTATATGGGGTTGTGTCACAGTGAGTGCACAGCCCACTAATGTAGGTGATATGATACATTCAAGCATCGTATGAGACAAGGAGGCCATCATAGTGGAACGGTACCAGGCATATTCAAGTTTTGGATGCTTCTCTTACAGCTGGCAGAGATTTTCCAGCACGTTGGATTGCCATTCATTCCTTTTCTGTAGAGAAAAAGGATGAAACCTTTCATGCTGCTTTTGTTCATTGGCATAATTAGGGAAGAATAATTATAGAGAGTTCCAACAGTGAAGTGATTTCCACAATGGCAGTTGATTACAGTGGATAGGTAGCACTGGACCCTAGGGTTGTCCTCTTGGTGTTGGGTTGTCCCCTTGGTGTTGGGTTGTCCCTTTGTTGTTGGGTTGTCCTCTTGGTGTTGGGTTGTCCCCTTGGTGTTTGGGTTGCCCTCTTGGTGTTGGGTTGTCCCCTTGGTGTTGGGTTGTCCCCTTGGTGTTGGGTTGTCCCCTTGGTGTTGGGTTATCCCATTGGTGTTCGGTTGTCCCATTGGTGTTGGGTTGTCCCCTTGGTGTTGGGTTGACCCCTTGGTGTTGGGTTGTCCCATTGGTGTTGGGTTGTCCCATTGGTGTTGGGTTGTCCCCTCGGTGTTGGGTTGTTCCCTCGGTGTTGGGTTGTCCCCTTGGTGTTGGGTTGTCCTCTTGGTGTTGGGTTGTCCTCTTGGTTTTGGGTTGTCCTCTTGGTGTTGGGTTGTCCCCTTGGTGTTGGGTTTTCCCCTTGGTGTTGGGTTTTCCCCTTGGTGTTGGGTTGTCCCCTTGGTGTTGGGTTGTCCCCTTGGAGTTGGGTTGTCCCCTTGGAGTTGGGTTGTCCCCTTGGTATTGGGTTGTCCCTTTGGTGTTCGGTTGTCCTCTTGGTGTTGGGTTGTCCTCTTGGTGTTGGGTTGTCCCCTTGGTGTTGGGTTGTCCTCTTGGTGTTGCTATCCAAAAGTATTATAATGGCGTTTGTATAGTTTGGTTACTGGGCTGGCAGCTACTTGCACAGGCTCGGGAATAATCAGCTTCCTCCTCTCTTCTTGGTGAATTGCTCACTCGCAGCAAGCAGTACGTAGAAGGTGTCAGGACACAATACACACCTTCTCGTTCCAGGGATATATCTTCCATTTTAATTCAAACTTGCATATTTTTTGGCTTCAGCCAGTTCTGCAATTTGCAGACATCAAGGCGATAAGAAAAAGTTGTCCATGGATAAATATGTCAATATTTCAGGAAGGAGAATAACTAAAGAAAAACCGTAATGAAGGAGATCTGCCATGTTCCAGCTTCATGCCCGAAACCCCTACAAAATAATGCTGCCGGCTGTCTTGTTTAAAGGGAACATATAGAGGTTTTTGTATTTTTTTTTTTATTTATTTATTTGAACATGAACACTTTAAAATGATTCTTTTTTCGGTCAGGTGAATATAAAGTATTGCATAGGGAATTATTTGTTTTCTGATATTCAGTCTACAAGTGGAGCTGTCAGCTCCTTTTTTGTTTTTCATACTATCTTTATATGCTGTGCTGAAAACAGTCTGTTGTTTAGAAAGCCCAATAGCTCAAGATGAAAGTTTCACACAGCCCAGTGACTCAGAAGCAGTGGCTCATCCTCCCTCCATGAAGCAATTTACAATACATACAGAGAGTCTGAAGGCAAGCAGCTACTGCTGTGCTCTAGTGTGATGACTGTGCCCTGTAATAAATATATAAATATAAATATAAATATATATATATATATATATTATATATATATTTATAAATATATATATAAAAATATTATATGTATATAAATAATTATGCAAAGCTTTAAAAAATATAAATAAATAGACCCCCAAAACATTATAATTTTCCTTTAAGCCATCTGCAGCGTAAAATGGCAGCTAGAGAATAGGCTGGACGTCAGGCCCTGGATGACCTGTTGGTGGCACTGTGGTTCCCTGGGCAGAAGGTTTTAGTTCCTGTGTTCACCAGTGGGTGTCTCCTAGCAGCCAACAGATCCCAGTAATGAGTAATCCAACTGGTGCTGGGAGACACCCACTGGTGGACACTGGAACTACAACTTTTCCCCCAGGGAATCGCAGTGCCACCAGCAGGTGATCCAGGCCCTGACACTGGGTGACAATGTTATAAGCTTTGAGTATCTCTTTTCCTCTCTGCAGGTATGAACGCTTTTGCATATATCATGTCTGTGGAGGTTCTCATGCCTATATATTAGTAGCTAGTCACATTAAGCTGGACTCTTGTAATGTTGAGGTTCTCATTCTGGACAGAGAGGAGGACTAGTTCATAAAAGGTGTGGAAGAACCCATCTGTCCCCCAAAACGTAGATGGGAGCTTCAAACCCACGTGGCACATATACTACCAATTTAACGTCTCTACTCTGGCAGTCTGACAGCAATTTACACCTTCAGCCATGCGACTCGGGGAGTTAACACCTGACTAGACTTTGTGGCCTCATAATGTTTGGATTATAGGACCATGATGGGAGGGGTTCACAAATGTTCACTCCTCCCATCTAGTTCTTGGACAACCAACTTCTGTCTTGACATATTCCGTGGAGATTGGGTTAAGCTAAGGTGTTACCAGGGTGGCCAAGATTCTTGGGCAATGTTTCTGGCCATCAACCATGATGAGGAGACCATGAGGAGGAATGGTGGAACATTTAGGCCTCAAACACACAAGGCGGACCCATCAACGGATCTGCTTTCTCAGTGGAGGATCTATCTGCTGATCCCTGCTTAGCAAGCAGATTACAGGTCCATGGCTGTTCTGCTTATGCAGACAAAGCCATGGACAAGGACACAACCTGATGTCCTCCATGGATGGTTGGATGGAAACGGACTGCCTGTCTGTTTCCATCCGACTGACATGCGATCCAATGGAGGGAAGGGGAACAGATCCCCATCCGTCTCTTTTTGATAGATCGGATTGGATGTGTGCGGGTGTAAAGAGACATGTCCTTTTACACCCGCCACTCCATAGAGGTTCTGATTGGGTCCACCTGAAAAAAGGCACGTCCATGTGATGTAACTGTGGCCTAATATCACAGTTTTCGAACCTTTGTTCACCCTGGGTACCCAGGGTGGTCAGTGTACCCAGGGGGTGGTGGGCTCATGAGGATCTCCTGTTGTAGGTGGTCATTAAGGAGGAACTGGAGTCTTGAAGGTGGGACTAGTCACCTGTGATGCTGTGGTCTCCTTGCAGCTGATCTTTTCCCCTTACCGTGCTTTGTTCTGCCTGCGTCTCTCTATGGAAGCGGCCATCTTGGTTGGCAGGGCATTGCTTCCTCATGTCAGAACCTCCAGCAAGGAGAACAGTGAGCAGCACAGTAGTGAAATCACCAAATCGCACTCCAAATCTCCTGCGACTGACAGTCAGAGGCAGCAGTGCCTTAGATGATCTCGCATGGCAGATATACTACAGCTAGGAGGCCACAGCATTGGGGTGCCTCTCACATACCAGGAGGTGCATTGGGGTGCCTCTCACATACCAGGAGGTGCATTGTTACCATGTGATGTAACTGTGGCCCAATATCACAGTTTTCGAACCTTTGTTCACCCAGGGTGGTCAGTGTACCCATGGGGTGGTGGGCTCATGAGGATCTCCTGTTGTAGGTGGTCATTAAGGAGGAACTGGAGTCTCGAAGGTGGGACTAGTCACCTGTGATGCCTGTGGTCTCCTTGCAGCTGCTCTTTTCCCCATTATTGACTTACCAAGCTCTGTTCTGCACTGCGTCTCTCTATGGAGGTGGCCATCTTGGTTGGCAGGGCATTGCTTCCTCATGTCAGAACCTCCAGCAAGGAGAACAGTGAGCAGCACAGTAGTGAAATCACCAAATCGCACTCCAAATCTTCTGCGACTGACAGTCAGAGGCAGCAGTGCCTTAGATGATCTCGCATGGCAGATATACTACAGCTAGGAGGCCACAGCATTGGGGTGCCTCTCACATACCAGGAGGTGCATTGGGGTGTCTCTCACATACCAGGAGGTGCATTTTACCATGTGATGTAACTGTGGCCCAATATCACAGTTTTCGAACCTTTGTTCACTCAGGGTGGTCAGTGTACCCATGGGGTGGTGGGCTCATGAGGATCTCCTGTTGTAGGTGGTCATTAAGGAGGAACTGGAGTCTCGAAGGTGGGACTAGTCACCTGTGATGCCTGTGGTCTCCTTGCAGCTGCTCTTTTCCCCATTATTGACTTACCAAGCTCTGTTCTGCACTGCGTCTCTCTATGGAGGCGGCCATCTTGGTTGGCAGGGCATTGCTTCCTCATGTCAGAACCTCCAGCAAGGAGAACAGTGAGCAGCACAGTAGTGAAATCACCAAATCGCACTCCAAATCTTCTGCGACTGACAGTCAGAGGCAGCAGTGCCTTAGATGATCTCGCATTGGCAGATATACTACAGCTAGGAGGCCATGGCATTGGGGTGCCTCACACATACCAGGAGGTGCATTGGGGTGCCTCTCACATACCAGGAGGTGCATTGTTATTTCTCAGGACAAAATGAACATTTTTCAGTGTCCTGCCCAGGCACAGCTAACATTTCTAATTTTGAGTTCAGATCAGCTGTCCCCATTTACACCAATGCGATTTGTCGTACTTCGGCCGTGGCGCAACACCAAAGAGGAAGCCCATTATTGTCTATGGGGCCCGTTGTTACCTATGCAATGCCCTTCCATGCGACTTGGAATAAGGTGCAAGCCATTTTCTTGGTGCATTTTAACCCCCTTAGCCAGGAGCGGTAGCACGTGAAAAGCGCATGTACATGCAGACGCACACGTGTGATCCTAGTCTGTTGTGGGGAGCCTCCTGCTTGTTTAATAGGCAAACAATTTCAGGGACCCGTCTGATTTCATCGCGGGATCGGGCGCCGTCCAGGAGCCAGAGTTTATTTTGCAGAACAGATGTCATGGCCGGACTCCCCCTCGCGGCAGCACGGGCCATGTGACACCTCAGGGAGGTCTCCCGCACTTTGGGTTCATTTGTAGGTTTTGCAAGGGAAGCTTTTACATAGCACACTGCTGGAACAATGTATCACCAATGAATACAATGCCAATGAATACAATGTTGCAATGATTTACATGGTAACTTTCTACATTTCCTGGCCTTTTGATGATGTATTTCTATAGAAGCAGATAGGAATCTACACCTATGGTGTCACATAGTATCACATGGTGTCAAATGGTGTCACATAGTATCACATGGTGTCATATAGTATCACATGTTGTCAAATGGTGTCACATAGTATCACATGGTGTCATATAATATCACATGGTGTCACATAGTATCACATGGACAATGTTTTCTTTATGTACAAAGGTATGTAAAAAGGTTTTTTTAAATCGTTTTCTGGATCTGCAGGTGGGGCAGGGGGTACAGAAGTTGTATTTTTTTTCCATGGTTTGACTTTTGTTTCAGGCGTCTTGTGAATAAGTAGCAAACAGATAATTGCGCACACATTGTCGCAGCTTTTATACGGCTACTTTCAAGCTGCTCTGTTGCCAAAACGCATGGGTGTTTTTTTTTTTTTTTTGCTGCTTTTTTGCCGTGTTTCTGGTGCCTTTTGTGCCTGTGAAAAAAGGACACGTGACTCTGAAAAAACGCAACCGTAGGTGCGTTCTTGATGTGTTTTTGATGCTTCTTCCATTCATTTCAATGTGGAGGTGCATTTTTGGTGCTTTTATTTATTTATTTTTTTACCGCACCAAAAATGCAGCTTGCAGGACTTTGAAAAACGCAACTAACCAGTGTGAAGAGTTCCATAGGATTTAATGGTCATGCGTTTTTTTTTTAGTTTTTTTTAATGCAATAAAAAGTCCAGGTTCACACAGTCCCACACGCTGCTGGCTGGTTGTGGACGCAGGAGTCGTGCCTATTCCCGCAACCACCCGCATCGTGCTGAATGGCACATCCCGCAGCGCGATCGGGATGTGCCTGTGTGATCGTGGGCCGCCGTGCCTGTGCGATCGTGGGCCGCCGTGCCTGTGCGATCGTGGGCCGCAGCGCCTCTGTGATCGTGAGCCGCAGCGCCTCTGTGATCGTGAGCCGCAGCGCCTGTGCGATCGTGGGCCGCAGCGCCTCTGCGATCGTGAGCCGCAGCGCCTGTGCGATCGTGAGCCGCAGCGCCTGTGCGATCGTGAGCCGCAGCGCCTGTGCGATCGTGAGCCGCAGCGCCTGTGCGATCGTGGGCCGCAGCGCTTGTGCGATCGTGGGCCGCAGCGCCTCTGTGATCGTGAGCCGCAGCGCCTGTGCGATCGTGAGCCGCAGCGCCTGTGCGATCGTGGGCCGCAGCGCCTGTGCGATCGTGGGCCGCAGCGCCTCTGTGATCGTGAGCCGCAGCGCCTGTGCGATTGTGAGCCGCAGCGCCTGTGCGATCGTGGGCCGCAGCGCCTGTGCGATCGTGGGCCGCAGCGCCTCTGTGATCGTGAGCCGCAGCGCCTCTGTGATCGTGAGCCGCAGCGCCTGTGCGATCGTGAGCCGCAGCGCCTGTGCGATCGTGAGCCGCAGCGCCTCTGTGATCGTGAGCCGCAGCGCCTGTGCGATCGTGAGCCGCAGCGCCTGTGCGATCGTGAGCCGCAGCGCCTGTGCGATCGTGGGCCGCAGCGCCTCTGTGATCGTGAGCCGCAGCGCCTGTGCGATCGTGGGCCGCAGCGCCTCTGTGATCGTGAGCCGCAGCGCCTGTGCGATCGTGGGCTGCAGGGCCCGGCGTGGTGCAAGTCAGGGAGATAAACTGATCAGTGAAAGCGACTATAGAGGGTTCCCCTTGAAAACAAACCTGCTTGTCATATATTGAGGTCGCAGGGACCCCTAGTGACTAAAGTGAGCACTGCAACCACAGGCAAAGTGAATAGGGGCCTGCTTCTACTTTCACCGAACATTCACTGCCAATTACTGTCATGTAAAACACATGGCGCCAGAAGACTCACCTGCCTTTGATGAATGTCAGACTAACTAATCAGCGTGGCTGTTAACAAGAAAAGGGAAAAAAAACCGATATTAAACCCAAAAGCAAACATTTATTAAATTGCTGCCTATCAATTCTTAGATGTGGCGGCTGCATTCGTTTTCTTTTTTTAGGCTTCCTTTCTGCTATCTTCACCTTGCGATCCAGCCAGTAAGCCTGTTGTATTTCAAAAGCACAAGCTGTCCTGCAGATGTAGCAGTTACAAGGATGAGACAAACCATTTAGCCCCGGTTCACATCTATGCGGCCCGTGTTTTGCGGGGGCAGGAGAACCTATTTATTTGAATGGACTCCCGTGCCCCGGGACACGCAGGGAAGAAGTCCCAGCACTTCTTCTAAAAATGCAGCCCACACAAGAACCTTGGTACAGCTGTGTTTTTTTCCAGTGCGGGCGGGGTGCCATTAGAACTAATGACACCCGCCCACAGGTCCGAATTTCTCAGTGCGGGTGGTGCGGCTGCACGGATTTTCGTGCACCACCCGCACAGATGTGAACCTAGCCTTGCCACAATCATCGGCTTTTATTGATGTAAAAAGAAAAAAAAAAAAAACAGTTTTTAAAGTGTGAGCTGGACTTTGGCTTCAATTTGTTAGTGTATTTAAATTGGCTAGTCCATCTAACATCACCCCTTCTCCCAGAATGACAATGCACAGTGGCTATGGGCAGCACAGTGGCTAAATAGTTAGCACTTCCGCCTGGCAGTACTCGGGTCGTTGGTTTGAATCCCAACCACGGCATCACCTGCCTGGAGTTTGCATGTTCTCCCTGTGCCTGTGTAGGTTTCCTCCGGGTACTCCAGTTTCCTCTCACACTCCAAAAGACATGCCTGTAGATTAATTGGATCCTGTCTAAATTGGCCCTTGTATATGAATGTAGGTTAGGGACCTTATCCTGTCCATAGACGGTTCGTTTATTGGCCAAATTTTTGGCCGAAAAACAAAAAAATTGGTCGTTCTTTTGCCACCAATGCTGTTTTTGGCTGTTTTTCGTAAATTTTCCAGCATGACTGATAAAAGAAATGAGGAGGAACCGTGAAAATCGGCCAACGACATTGCCCCACTAACGGTGCGAATATCGGCTGATTATTCTTGCAGACGAAAATTCAGCCAATAAATGAACCGTCTATGGCCTGCATTAGATTGTACGCTCCTCGGGGGCGGGGGACTGATGGGAATGTACAATATATATGTAAAGTGCGGAGTAAATTGATGGCGCTATATAAGTACCTGAAATAAATAATAATGCTTCTGTGCCCCCTGTGCTCCTTCCTCCAGAGTGGGGGCGCTCTAATACAAGAGGTGTGTTGCTGGCCGGAACTCCAGGTGAAAACAGAGGGGAAGCCTAAAAAGAAAACGAATGCAGCCAATGATTGGGAAGGTGCGATATAGGAGGTGTTTTGGTGTTGGATTTGGCGCCCCCTGTAGGATAGTGGCTGTGCTGTGCCTGTGTGTTTATATTTCTGATCCTCTGAAGAGTTTGTTTTGTATCACTCTGTATATTGTACACATTTTAGGAGGATATGTTTAGGGGAAACTCCAGACAGACATAGAAAAAAAAAAATTAAAAGGGTTGAAGCGCATACTGTATATGGAATTTGCTATTTTCCCTCCAGCCTGATGCACACCGGGTGAAATTTCAAATGAGGCTGGCAGAGGAGGTTCTGGCAGTGGGAGCGTCTGGCTAAAACAAAGAATTCGAACAAAAAAATCCTTCAGCTGTTCCTCGTCACACAAAACCAATGAAAGCGTCCAGCGGATCCTCTAATCCACCCAATCATATTACAGTGGATCTAGCCTGCCTGATGTGGGGGTGCAATAAAATAAATGTCAGGGGGCAGAGAATGGGAGGTCAGGAGGGCAGAGGGCAGGGGCCACTGTTATCAGGGCAAAGGACAGGGGTAATCAGGGTAGAGGACAGGGGTCATCAGGGTAGAGGACAGGGGTCATCAGAGTAGAGGACAGGGGCCACTGCTATCAGGGCAGAGGAGAGGGGGTCAGCACGGCAGAGGACAGGGGTCATCAGGGTAGAGGACAGGGGTCACTGCTGGCAGGGCAGAGGAGAGGGATCAGCAGGGCAGAGGACAGGGGTCATCAGGGTAGAGGACAGGGGTCACTGCTGGCAGGGCAGAGGAGAGGGATCAGCAGGGCAGAGGAGAGGGATCAGCAGGGCAGAGGAGAGGGATCAGCAGGGCAGAGAGAGAGGGATCAGCAGGGCAGAGGACAGGGGTCATCAGGGTAGAGGACAGGGGTCACTGCTGGCAGGGCAGAGGAGAGGGGTCAGCACGGCAGAGGACAGGGGTCACTGCTGGCAGGGCAGAGGACAGGGGTCACTGCTGGCATGGCAGAGGAGAGGGATCAGCAGGGCAGAGGACAGGGGTCACTGCTGGCAGGGCAGAGGACAGGGGTCACTGCTGGCAGGGCAGAGGAGAGGGGTCAGCAGGGCAGAGGACAGGGGTCATCAGGGTAGAGGACAGGGGTCACTGCTGGCAGGGCAGAGGAGAGGGGTCAGCACGGCAGAGGACAGGGGTCATCAGGGCAGAGGACAGGGGTCACTGCTGGCAGGGCAGAGGACAGGGGTCATCAGGGCAGAGGACAGGGGTCACTGCTGTCAGCACAGTCAGCACAGCTCCTTCTCCCATCCCTGCACTGTACACGGCCTAGGCACAGGCAGCAGAGCTCCTCCTCCTCACACATAGCTTTGGTTTTGGGGGGCAAAACTAAAATCTGGTGAGCATAGACCACCCCTCCCCCCCGATCCAGCCATGCATTAGAAGCTGCAGCAATTCATACAGAGCCCATCTCATTCCTTGGCTGCAGGACGTCCAGCATCATCTAGCACTTTCCTCCCCAGGCTAACTGTCCCTGGCCCCACCCCTTTTCATTCTTTGGATTTCAGTTCATTTAATGATGGAGACTCAGCATCACGTGTGGGCGTTACCTCCACATGCCAACCGCAATCCGTATATATACATTGTGATTTGTAGGTGGTTTTACCCGGGTTATGGCTGAAGCCGGGATCTTCTGTGTTGTAGCCGGCAGCTGGCTTTTTAATGGAAGTGATCTGAGCGGGTCATTGGCTACTGGATCACTTTTAGAAGCGGCAGGAAGGGACGCCCCCCCCCCCCCCCTTACCTTCCCCCCCTCCCCTTCCACCACTCGCTGCCGTTTCTCAGGCTTACCGTTTCAACCGGATCCTTCTCCACCATTGACCCCCCCACATCCTTCTCCACCATTGACCCTCCCCAGATCCTTCTCCACCATTGACCCCCCCACATCCTTCTCCACCAATGACCCCCCCCCAGATCCTTCTCCACCATTGACCCTCCCCTAGATCCTTCTCCACCACTGACCCCCCCAGATCCTTCTCCACCACTGACCCCCCCCCCCTCCCAGATCCTTCTCCACCATTGACCCTCCCCTAGATCCTTCTCCACCACTGACCCCCCCAGATCCTTCTCCACCACTGACCCCCCCCCCCCTCCCAGATCCTTCTCCACCATTGACCCTCCCCAGATCCTTCTCCACCATTGACCCTCCCCAGATCCTTCTCCACCATTGACCCCCCCCCCCCCACATCCTTCTCCACCAATGACCCCCTCCCCAGATCCTTCTCCACCATTGACCCTCCCCTAGATCCTTCTCCACCATTGACCCCCCCAGATCCTTCTCCACCACTGACCCCCCCCCCCTCCCAGATCCTTCTCCACCATTGACCCTCCCCAGATCCTTCTCCACCATTGACCCTCCCCAGATCCTTCTCCACCATTGACCCTCCCCAGATCCTTCTCCACCATTGACCCTCCCCTAGATCCTTCTCCACCATTGACCCCCCCAGATCCTTCTCCACCACTGACCCCCCCCCCTCCCAGATCCTTCTCCACCATTGACCCTCCCCAGATCCTTCTCCACCATTGACCCTCCCCAGATCCTTCTCCACCATTGACCCTCCCCAGATCCTTCTCCACCAATGACCCCCCCCCCAGATCCTTCTCCACCATTGACCCCCCCCAGATCCTTCTCCACCACTGACCCCCCCCCCCCCAGATCCTTCTCCACCATTGACCCTCCCCAGATCCTTCTCCACCATTGACCCTCCCCAGATCCTTCTCCACCAATGACCCCCCCCAGATCCTTCTCCACCATTGACCCCCCCAGATTCCTTTTCCACCACTGACCCCCCCCTCCCAGATCCTTCTCCACCATTGACCCTCCCCAGATCCTTCTCCACCATTGACCCCCCAGATCCTTCTCCACCACTGACTTTACAAAAATTGTTCCCAATCCCGAAACTCCCACGCCGGAACCTCCGACCTACATACTGGCCGGCTGCCGGGGAAATAATTGAATTTTTTTTAAAAATCTTTTCTTCTCTGGAGTTCCTCCTCGATACGTATTCCTTCTATGACTGGCCGGGATTTACAGAATTCAAGTATTTCTAGAATGAAATGTGCAATCCACTTGTTTTGCTGAGAGCACTCCCCCCCCCATCCCCCTTGTATCCCCTACACCCCCCATCCCCCCTGTACCCCCCCTACAACCCCCCCCCACAAGTGTGTTTATTGTAGGATTTGTACAGAAACATTTTTTACAAAGTTTTT